CGGACACACCATAACGTTGTGGTGTTCCAGGTGGCGTGAGCTGTGAAACTATTCCACATTGTTTAAATTGAAGACCAAACTCGCAACTCAAATATTCGTCTCCGCGATCAGATCGCAGAAATTTTATTTTCTTGTTACGATGATTTTTCCACTTCACTCTGAAATTCTTTGAACCTTTCAACTATTTCAGACTTATGTTTCATCAAGTAGATATACCCATATCTGCTCAAATCATCTTGTGAAGGTCAGAAAATAATGATACTTGCCACAAGCATTAACACTCATTGGATCGCATACATCGGTATGTATCATTTCCAAAAAGTTAGTAGCTTGTTCTATTGTTTCGGAGAACGGAGTTTTAGTCATCTTGCCCAAAAGGCACGGTTCGCAAGCATCAAATGATTCATAACCAAGTGATTCCGAAAATCCATCTTTATGGAGTTTCTTCATGCGCTTTACATCGATATGACCCAAACGGCAGTGCCACAAATAAGTTGCACTATCATTATTAACTTTGCATCCTTTGGCATCAATATTATGAATATGTGTATCACTACGATCGAGATCCAACAAACTATTTTCATTGGGTGTATAACCATCAAAGGTCTTATTCATGTAAACAGAATAACAATTATTCTTTAACTTCAAATGAATAACCGTATCGCAATAAACATGATCAAATCATATTCATGCTCAACGCAAACGCTAAATAACATTTATTTAGTTTTAACACTAATCTCGAAAATATAGGGAGTGATGATGATCATATCAATCTTAGAACTATTTCCAACACTCATCGTCATTTCCCCTCAACTAGTCTCTGTTTATCATGTAACTCCCATTTCGAGTTACTAATCTTAGCAACCGAACAAGTATCAAATACTCAGGGGCTACTATAAACACTAGTAAGGCACACATCAATAATCTATATATGAAATATACCCTTGTTCACTTTGCCATCCTTCTTATCCACCAAATATTCAGGGCATTTTCGCTTCCAGTGACCATTTTCTTTGCAGTGTAAGCACTCAGTTTCAGGCTTTGGTACAGCTTTGGTCTTCTTCACGGGAGTGACAACTTGCTTGTTATTCTACTTGAAGTTCCCTTTCTTTCCCTTTGCCCTTCTCTTGAAACTAGTGGTCTTGTCAATTATCAACACTTGATGCTCTTTCTTGATTTCTACCTTCGTCGATTTCAACATCACGAAGATCTCGGGAATCGTTTTCATCATCCATTGCATACTATAGTTCATCACGAAGTTCTAGTAACTTAGTGATGATGACTAGAGAATTCTATCAATCACTATCTTATCTGGAAGATTAACTCCCACTTGATTCAAGCGATTGAAGTACCCAGACAATCTAAGCACATGCTCACTAGTTGAGCGATTCTCCTCCATCTTTTAGCTATAGAACTTGTTGGAGACATCATATCTCTCAACTCGGGTATTTGCTTGAAATATAAACTTCAACTCCTGGAACATCTCATATGGTCCATGACGTTCAAAACGTCTTTGAAGTCCCGATTCTAAGCCATAAAGCATGGTGCACAAAACTATCAAGTAGTCATCATATTGAGCTAGCCAAACGTTTATAACGTCTGCATCTGCTCCTGCAATAGGTCTGTCACCTAGCGGTGCATTAAGGACATAATTCTTCTGTGCAACAATGAGGATAAACCTCAGATCACGGATCCAATCCACATCATTGCTACTAACATCTTTCAACACAATTTGCTCTAGGAACATATCAAAATAAACATATGAAAGCAACAACGCGAGCTAATGATCTACAACATAATTTGCAAAATACTACCAGGACTAAGTTCATGATAAATTTAAGTTCAATTAATCATATTACTTAAGAACTCCCACTTAGACAGACATCTCTCTAGTCATCTAAGTGATCACGTGATCCAAATCAACTAAACCATAACTGATCATCACATGAGATGGAGTAGTTTTCAATGGTGAACATCACTATGTTGATCATATCTACTATATGATTCACGCTCGACCTTTCGATCTCCGTGTTCCGAGGCCATATCTGCATATGCTAGGCTCGTCAAATTTAACCTGAGTATTCCGTGTGTGCAAAACTGGCTTGCACCCGTTGTAGATGGACGTAGAGCTTATCACACCCGATCATCACGTGGTGTTTGGGCACGACGAACTTTGGCAACGGTGCATACTCAGGGAGAACACTTCTTGATAATTATTGAGAGATCATCTTAAAATGCTACCGTCAATCAAAGCAAGATAAGATGCATAAAGGATAAACATCACATGCAATCAATATAAGTGATATGATATGGCCATCATCATCTTGTGCTTGTGATCTCCATCTCCGAAGCACCGTCGTGATCACCATCGTCACTGGCGCGACACCTTGATCTCCATCGTAGCATCGTTGTCGTTTACGCCATCTATTGCTTCTACGACTATCGCTACCGCTTAGTGATAAAGTAAAGCAATTACAGGGCGTTTGCATTTCATCCAATAAAGCGACAACCATATGGGTCCTGCCAGTTGCTGATAACTTCGGCTACAAAACATGATCATCTCATACAATAAAATATAGCATCACGTCTTGGCCATATCACATCACAACATGCCCTGCAAAAACAAGTTAGACGTCCTCTACTTTGTTGTTGCAAGTTTTACGTGGCTGCTACGGGCTGAGCAAGAACCGTTCTTACCTACGCATCAAAACCACAACGATAGTTTGTCAAGTTGGTGCTGTTTTAACCTTCGCAAGGACCGGGCGTAGCCATACTCGGTTCAACTAAAGTTGGAGAAACTGACACCCGCTAGTCACCTGTGTGAAAAGCACGGCGGTAAAACCAGTCTCGCGTAAGCGTACGCGTAATGTCGGTCCGGGCCGCTTCACCCAACAATACCGCCGAACCAAAGTATGACATGCTGGTAAGCAGTATGACTTGTATCGCCCACAACTCACTTGTGTTCTACTCGTGCATATAACATCAACGCATAAAACCTAGGCTCGGATGCCACTGTTGGGGAATGTAGTAATTTCAAAAAAATTCCTACGCACACGCAAGATCATGGTGATGGCATAGCAACGAGAGGGGAGAGTGTTCGTCCACGTACCCTCGTAGACTGTAAGCGGAAGCGTTAGCACAACGTGGTTGATGTAGTCGTACGTCTTCACGATCCGACCGATCCAAGCACCGAACGTACGGGGCCTCCGAGTTCAGCACACGTTCAGCTCGATGACGATCTCTGGCCTCCGATCCAGCGAAGCTCCGGAGATGAGTTTCGTCAGCACGACGGCGTGGTGACGATGATGATGTTCTACCGGCGCAGGGCTTCGCCTAAACTCCGTGACAATATGACCGAGGTGGAATATGGTGGAAGGGGGCACCGCACACGGCTAAGGAACGATCCGTAGATCAACTTGTGTGTCTATGGGGTGCCCCCCCCCCCGCCCCCGTATATAAAGGAGCAAGGGGGGGACCGGCCGGCCCTTGGGGCGCGCCAAGGAGGGGGGAGTCCTCCTCCTAGTGGGAGTAGGACTCCCCTTTCCTAGTCCAACTAGGAAGGAGGAAAGGGGAAGGAAAGAGGGGGAGAGGGAGAGGGAAAGAGGGGCCGCGCCCCCCTACCCTAGTCCAATTCGGACTCCCCTTGGGGGGGCCACCTCCTAGGCTGCTGCCCTCTCTCTCCCCTCAGGCCCACTAAGGCCCAATACTTCCCCGGGGGGTTCCGGTAACCCCTCCGGCACTCCGGTTTTCTCCGAAATCACCCGGAACACTTCCGGTGTCTGAATATAGTCGTCCAATATATCAATCTTTATGTCTCGACCATTTTGAGACTCCTCGTCATGTCCGTGATCACATCTGGGACTCCGAACAAACTTCGGTACATCAAAACTTATAAACTCATAATAAAACTGTCATCGTAACGTTAAGCGTGCGGACCCTACGGGTTCGAGAACTATGTAAACATGACCTAGAACCATTCTCGGTCAATAACCAATAGCGGGACCTGGATGCCCATATTGGTTCCTACATATTCTACGAAGATCTTTATCGGTCAAACCGCATAACAACATACGTTGTTCCCTTTGTCATCAGTATGTTACTTGCCCGAGATTCGATCGTCGGTATCCAATACCTAGTTCAATCTCATTACTGGCAAGTCTCTTTACTCGTTCCGTAATACATCATCTCATAACCAACTCATTAGTTACAATGCTTGCAAGGCTTAGGTGATGAGTATTACCGAGAGGGCCCAGAGATACCTCTCCGACAATCGGAGTGACAAAACCTAATCTCGAATTATGCCAATCCAACATGTACCTTCGGAGACACCTGTAGAGCACCTTTATAATCACTCAGTTACGTTGTGACGTTTGGTAGCACACAAAGTGTTCCTCCGGTAAACAGGAGCTGCATAATCTCATAGTTGTAGGAACATTGTATAAGTCATGAAGAAAGCAATAGCAACATACTAAACGATCAAGTGCTAGGCTAACGGAATGGGTCAAGTCAATCACATTATTCTTCTAATGATGTGATCCCGTTAATCAAATGACAACTCATGTCTATGGTTAGGAAACTTAACCATCTTTGATTAACGAGCTAGTCAAGTAGAGGCATACTAGTGACACTATGTTTGTCTATGTATTCACACATGTATTATGTTTCTGGTTAATACAATTCTAGCATGAATAATAAACATTTATCATGATATAAGGAAATAAATAATAACTTTATTATTGCCTCTAGGGCATATTTCCTTCATAAAGCACATGCGCGGAGTTTTTATGGGCTAGGACCATGTATGTGCATGGTGATATAGCATATATCTGGAGGACTGAGTGGGTGGTGACACCGTACGACAACCACCAACCCCGCTTTAATAGTAAAGACACAAAAAATTGATTCACGTGAAGTCTGAATCCCATCGGTATTTTAATGATTATATGTTTAGGCACATGACAACAAATAGTGAACAACATGCAGATTGTCATGGGTGATGATCAAATTGCCGTGAGCTTGATTTGTGCGCCATGCAGTGGGCGCATCAGTCTAATGTTATTTACTGCATGAGTGTATGACGGTGCGAGCTCAAACTCAAAGCATTGAAGGATCATGCAAAACGCCATCTTAGCCTCAAGAAGGGCGAATTGTTGGGCAATGCAGATACGTGGCCCCCAACTAAATGGCAGGAATGCACCAGGATTCTTGGACGCGTGGAAGATCCCGTTGGTGAACCTCTCCGGCTTGAACTCATGTGCGTCTCTTCCCCATATAACCGGGTCATGGTTCATTAACAATAGGGGAAGCTCAATGAGAACACCGGCGGGGTATGTGATGCCTCCAATCTTTATCTCCTTGTACGTTTTACGGAAGAATGCGACAGCAGGCGAGTACAGCCGAAGTACCTCGTAAAGAATCATGGTCACCTGCAAAATAGTAGATTGCAAGATTTATATATCCAAGTTTATATCCTATTGTAATAATGGAATCAAGTAAACAACACAGCACTCACTGTTTTGAGTCGGTTAATGCCTTCATACTCAAGTTTGTTTTTTCCAAATAAGCCAATGGCCTCCTCCCTGGCACGGTCCTGCCACTCTGGATGCATACTTAGTACGATCATTGTCCATGTGAGCAGTATTGATGTTGTTTCTGTCCCTGCAAGATAGAACAACTTGCATTCCTCCATGACCTCTTTAATGGTCATTCCTGAGATGGATTGGCCATTGTCATCTGAGGTCCTCATGTTTGACTCAAGCATCAAGCCGAGCAAGTCATCTTTGATATTTTCTCCTTCTTGCATAGCTTGCATTCTTTTTCCAATTAAACCATGTAGAATGGATTCGATTTCACTATTATTTTGATGCATCTTTCTATTATTTTTGGTGGGCAAGGACCTGTAAATACCACAATAATTATTAGCACATACGGATTAATGGTACTAAATCATGGAATAACTCTCATTATTTAAGGTAGAGCTCGGATCAACAAAACATGGACTCTAGTGTTACTCTACATCAGTATTACCGTCTTTGATTAATGCTGATTTTTAAATCTATATTAGAGTTCCTCACAAGAAAAATCGATGCTAGCATATTAGCTTTTGACAGGAAGTTTGTATCTTGAAACTTTTTGGAAAAGACGAATACTCCCTCCGTTCCAAAAACAATAATTTTAGAATGAAGGGAGTATCCCGCAAAAAAAGAAGAAGTTTAACTCGTACTATGAGGTGCTGACTCACAAGTAACCGGGAATGCCAATCTTCCAAGCCCCGGCAATGCGTTCAACTTGCTCGGATTGCAGCTGGAAAACCCTGGCACCTTCAAGGTAGTTACTGCCAAATGCGGTGCGAGAAATGACATCTCCAGTGAGTCTTCGGAACTCCGGGAAGACATCCAACTCATAGGTACCATCTGAGCCAAGGGACTGCGTCCATCTATTGACAAGCTCTTCGCAGCTTGTGGACAACGCTGGCAGCATGAGCTGCAAATTAAACGATTTTTTCAGAATAACCAAATTAAATGATGTTCGCTCGGAGGACTAATCACGCACTTAATTCCTGTAAAAAAATCGTGCTTGATGAAACGATTACAAATACCTTGAGCTTCTCGAGATGGAACGCAGGGTTAAGGATTCTCCTATGCTTGACCCATTTCTCGCCCTCGTGTTCCGCCAGGCCTGCGGCAAGCAGCCTGGACAGCGGCGGAAACCTGACCTTTTCAAAGTGGCCGAATTTGTTGGACAACACTTCCTTGGCCAAGTCAGGGTCGTGTATGGTCACCTTGGGGTACATAGCATACCAAGACATACACGTCTTGCCATGCTCGCGGACAATGTCGCAGAGGAGCGGCGCGACGAGGGGGGCTATGCTGTGGCAGCGCAGCGGCATCGACCTCGATTGCGCCTCCTTGCGCCGACGCCGATAGTCCATCATATCCCCGATGACGAAGCGGTACGACGTGCCGCGAAGACCCTGGGCGCGCAAGGCACGCTCAAGCCGCCGTGGGTGCCACCACAGCAAATCTACCAACCGGCTAGCCTGCCATAGAAGCACAAAGCCGAGGGTGCCGCATACCAGGGAGCTCCACGGCACTGAAGCTGCACTCATCAGCGCGCTAAGGACCATTCTCTCTCTTGACAAGTTGGGGGAAGAAAGGCCAGTTGACAGTGCAAAGGGCTGATTTGGTTGAATCGGTATATGCTAGAGATGGACACAATATATAGAGATGTCTCGTTTGTTTAAAATATGTTCTTTCACTATAATAACAAAGGTTGTGGCCTATCTGATCCATGCCCTTGCTCCTAAGGAACTTGGTAGATAAGGAACTGCGGTGAAGATCCGATTGGCAGGCGATTAGTTAAACTAAAAGCGGTGACGGCATGGATTCAAGGTGCAAGTAGTACTAGTGCTACTGCCAGTAACAATGTGATCAAAGTTTTACACCACGACTTTGTAACGCCCGAACGTCAGTCCTTTAGCGCGTGCGCGTGACTTTCCTTCCAGCGATTTCCATCCGCATGATAAATTCCATACAACCAACTGATAAAAGAGCTCATCTAAAAAAATGATAAAAGAACTACTAGCTGATAGGTGTACACAAAGGGAAAACCTAAAATTACTAAGACCACACAGGGAAAGAGAAAAAGAAAAACGAATGACATGAGTGAGTTTCTTCGCGTTTTTTTACTTGTTCTATGTAAAAGAAAAACAAAGAAACTCACTCATGTCATTCATTTATTAAATTTTTGTTGAATAAAAAAAAGTGAAGCTTTTCAATAAAGACCTTGTAAATTTGGCCGAGCTTACATAAAAATATGAACATTTACAATAACAAATATAGGATGTGAAAGATGATAAATTCAACTATTCTATAAACTTGGTCATTTACAAATTTTGACTTGAGAAAAAACTAATATGTAGAGTACATATAAACGAAGGGAGTAGTTTGGTGTAAGAATATTACAAAGCTCGGATTTGGATTCTCATTGACAATTCACATTCAATTGACAAGCACTTCGATACCTGATTACCATGGTTCATGAAATCGTCACCCAACTTTTTTTACCAAAGTTATCACGTGACAACTCTGGTACCCGTATAGTGATAACTTTATAAATCACTTGGTGCTCAACTTTTAAATTGATTTTTCTACTGGAACATACGCATATGGTATCTAATATCAAAGTTCTCGTTGAAACAGAGCCGATTGTGAAGATAGATCATAAATTAGATACGAAGTTTGGGATTTATTAAATTTTTTGCTGCTATACATTTTAAATTTCCATGTATCAAAACAATCAATGACATCTATTTTTTGCCATTCGCATGCATGCAAATTGGAAAGTGGTATTGATGCTAAAATTCTCGCTTCCGCATCCCATTGAATCCCATCAACATAACTGATGGGTGGCGTGACCTACCGTGCAAATCAACTTCACTCTCTAAAGCTACGAGATGAAATCTTGGGGGAAGGGAACAGTGAAAGACGGTAGCACACTAAGTGCATCTATAATAGATCCCCTAAACTTAATCTGGTAAACCTTCTCCTTATCCCCAAAAGTCATTTTTTGAGGGATTGAATTTTTCACAACTAGCAGATCCCCCATATTTAATCCCCTATTGGTTTTCCAACTCTTCCAAACCTTTGGTCAAACAATTGAAACAAAACCATCACATTTGAAAGCAAACATCAACATTTCAAATGCATCATATCATAATTGAACTAGGGGATAAATAAAGCTCATCTAATCCATCAAACATAAACCATAGGTGCCAAAAGGCACCGAATGAACAAGTCATTCCAAAAACCACCAACATATGGTGGACCAAAAGCCATCGTAGCATGGGCCTCATGCACTCGTGTCGTCACCGGCGATGCCACCATTACCGCCTCCTCTGTGGTTTTCACCACCACACATCTAGCTAAGATGTCCCCACAACTAAACTCCCAATATTGTCTTGCCTTCTCGACCATGTTGCTGTGATCCATGAATATTATCGTCCTTGACCACCCTTCTGCTTTTTTTGCTCCACAACTGCTAATGTAAGCTTTTGCTCCTCAAGCTCAGTCTTTTTCTTTTTTTTTCCTCGATCTTCAATGCAAGCCTTTTCATCTCAAGTTCAATTCCTTTTTCTTCCGCTGTCACCTTCCTCTCTTGAGCTGCCACCTTTGCCTTCCACTTCTCCTCCATAATCTTCATATCACAGAAAACAGTCACCTTCTCCTCCTTCTGGTCGGCAGCCAATCCATCTTCACCTCCACCAACACAATTAACTCTTCTTTGTATGCTCCAACACCACCATTCTTCTTGGTTTGCTTTGCAATTTTTGATCCATCCGGTCGGGCATAAAGAGTGCACTGGTTCTCTACCAAGTCATCATCATCATCAACATTGGTATTGCTCACCATCATCTCATAGAAACAAGTCTTGCTCGGTATTGACAAGGACCTTTTGGAAGTCGCTTCTTGGTGCCCAGGGAGGTTTTTCCTTAGTGGATCCATAAAAAATATAGCCACTCTAAACACCTGGGAGTTTCTTACGGTTTATTGTCCGGTCGAACGTATGCCAATGGAAACTTTCCCATCATAAATCGAACTTTAAATCGCTAACACTGGGGTCCAATGGTAATTGTTGGGATTTCAACCTTATCAGGGAAGCGACATACAAGAGCTTAGATAATATTTGTTGTCAAGGTTCAGGTTCAATGCCGACATTGCTAACATAGCCCTTAGGAACAGTCGGAGAGTGGATGCGAGCTATAATTGTACGAATAGGTAGCTAGCCCCGATCAAGATGGTTCTAGATAAAGTGTTCGTATCTCCAAACTAGGAAGCCACCTACCCCCTTTCTTCTCCTAAAGACGAAACCAGGAGTGGTTCGGACCATACCCCACTCCTTTTATCTTCTATAGAGGAGCTCTTCTGTCACAATATGTGGTTCTTCTTTCAATTGGGATGGTTCGAGGAGGAAGGTATTGTAGACCACTTCAAGACCAAGTCGACACTTTAGTCGCTACCCAAAGGAACTAGATGATACCCCGCGTGTTGCTGCGGCAGTGTTTGGCAATATATTTCATTATATTTGGTTGTATATGTCATGAATATTTGATGTAATAATGTGAGAACAAAAACTAGAAAATGAAAATAATTTATTGTGTTTGATTATTATATAATTGTAAAATATTTACTAAATTTTAATAGAATGCAAGTTCTCATGCATGTTTACATGTTGAGGTAGCTTTTACTTTATGCATGCTTGCATGTTGATTTGGGTATTTTACCATGCATGTTGGGATAAGGTGACATGCTTGCATGGTAAGAGAAATAGGTTAGTGGGGATAGCTATATGTTAGATATAAAAAATTCTAGGGGTTTGGTTGATTCCTGGCAAGGTTTATCTGGGCTTCTACACCAACTTGTTGAAGGTTGGGGGCCTAACAAGTTGTTATCCTCCTCAAATTAGATTTCGAAAATGTGTACGACAGAGTAAGTTGGTCATTCATGTGGGAAGTCCTGCTTGGGAAGGGGTTCCAGGCATGCTTTGTTCATAGGACCATGCGACTAGTTTTGCGAGGTCAGATGGCAATCTGTATCAACGGTGAGCTGGTCCCTTTCTTTTGGAATAAGAGGTGACATAGGCAGGGCGATCCTATCCACCCCTTAATTATATTTAACATTGTCATTGATGCGCTTTCAACCATGCTGGCCAAAGCTAGAGTTGTTGGACGCCGCAAGGGTGGTCTATCTCATCTTATTCCTAGGGGTATTATGCACTTGCAATATGCGGACGATACCTTGCTCCTTTTAGAGCCATACCTGAAGAGTATCGTCACCTTTAAAACCCTTCTAATCTATTTTGAAGTAATATCCAACCTAATAATCAACTACGCAAAAACTGATGTCGTGGCCATGGGTGTGGACCACGACGAGAAAACTCATAGTGCTAACCTTCTAAATTGCAAACTAATGGAGTTTCCCATCGTTTACCTAGGGCTCCCCTCCTCGGACAAAACCCTTCCCAGCTTAAATTGGGATCTGGTTGTCTATAAAACTTCAAAATATGTGTACTCTTGGCAAGGAAAACTCATGTCTTCTGGAGAGAGGCCGACCCTTACAAATGCCTACCTTTCGTCAATTTCTTCTTTTGCCATGGTCTTGTTTCTACTAGGTAGTGGGATGCACAAGCATCTAGCCAAAATTAGATCTAATTTCTTTGGGAAGCGGATGTGGCAAAGCAAAAATACAAGATGGCTCATTGGGATAATGTGAATAAGCCCATGTCCCAAGGGGGTCTCTGTTACCAGCTCAAAAAATTGACTTGGCTCTCCTCACCAAGTGGATCTGGAAACTCTCCCAAGATGCCTTCGGGCCAAATTCTGAAAGGCAAATTACTTTCAAGAATACTCTTACTTTCCTTCTGCGCTCGGGGAATCTCAGTTTTGGAACAATACTCAAAGATGCAAAGAAATTTTCTTCTTGGGGGCCCATTTCCTGGTGGGCAATGAGGTTGACACCTAGATCTAACCAACGAAATGGATTAATGACCGACCTATGTATGTTATGTACCCGTATATCAACGTCATAGCCTCAGAACCATGGATTTAAGTGAAGGACATCCTTCAAAATAACCTTGTCAACTTATCCTTTCTACAAAACCTCACCACCGCAGAGAGAGCTTCATGGTAAGCTTTATTGCTTGACTTGGGACATGTCTATCTTTCGGCAGAATGAGACACCATCACCTTGTACCTAGAGGCATCGAGGTGCTTCTCGGTCAAATCCACCTATGCTAAACTCATATACAATCCTCATATCCATTTCACCAAGGCCCTTCGGTACACAGTGGTGCGGCGTACAATTTGTCTTATCGCAAGCATCTAAGGATCAGATACCTTCAGCGAGTAGCCTACAAAAACATAATGGTTGAAGGAACAAAACTTGTGCCTTTTGTGGAGCTCCAGAAAATTCTTTTCCACATTACTTTTCTCCTGCCCTAGCTAAATTACTATGGAACTATGCGAGAGATAGCTTTGGGTGTAACTGAAACCTGCCTTTGTCTGAGGGAAGCCTTTACTTTCTGACTGACACTAGGGGCCAGTGGCTATAATTTATTGGTGCTCTTTTG